CAGGTTCGATAACGGGCAAGGGCATGTACCTTGGTTGCAGGCACATCCCCAGTGGGGAGGCGTGCAGGAGGCAGCTGATCGATGTTTCTCTTTCATCGATGTTTCTAACTCTCTATCCCTCACCTTTCCTTTCTGTAAAAAATCAATAAAATATATTTTTTTTAAAAAAGAAAAGAATAAAGAGAGAGGTAGTATTGTCACCTCTCATGATTGGTTAGCCTAGGAAACAAAAAAAGAACTTCAAAGGGTTTCTTAATATGTATTTCTGTTCTTTTTTAAAAATGTTTATTTATAATACATCTGTTCTTTGCTCTAAGAATTTATTTTTATTTTTGTTAATCCCTATCCATGAGATTTTTCCATTGATTGTTAGAGAGAGGAGAAGGGAGGGGGAGAGGCAGAGAGAAAGAAACCTCAGTGTGTGGATTGGTTGGCTCCTGCACGCGCCCCAACCAGGGCTAGGGATTGAGCCTGCAACCGAGGTACATGCCCTTGACTGGAATCAATCCTGGAACCCTTCATCCTCAGGCTGACACTCTATCCATTGAGCCAAGCCAGCTGGGGCTGTTCTAAGAAATTCTATTTTTTTTTTTAAGTCTCATTCATTTTCCTCTGGTCTTCTCTCCTGATTGTATTTCAGCAGTGTAAATGAGAAGCTACTTCTTTCCAAAGAAATTTTATGTTTTCTTTTCCTTTGAAAATGAGGAACCAGCCTCCAGTGTCTGGAGCAGGTTGTAGGGTGAAGATGGGGTTAGGTTGCCTTTAGATTCTTTACACAAGGCTCTGATGGTTTTAATTTGCATTCTTGCTACCAGAATTATTCTGTATGTCAACAAAGCTTATCTTATTCAAATAATTTTGATTTTTAAAACAAATCAGGGATGCTAAGGAATGCCACTGAGCCTTCGAAAGGCTTTACATAGAAGCTAAGGTATCTTTTTTAAGGAATAGAGAACAAAAGTAAATGTGATTACAATTCATCATAAAAGTTCTATGCCCAGTCATTGTGAATCTTTCACTCTAAGATTACAATGTATGTGTATATCAATGATGGAAATGTATTCTTTCTTATACATGCAATATCATTTTGGGGCCCTTCTCCTCAAGTCTTTTGCTATCATCTTTTTAACTACATATGGATTAAAATTCCATCTCTTTAGTACTCTATGAGAAAGTATGTTGCCTTGGAGAAGAAAAGGCAAATTCCTTTCAAACCTGTTTGTCTGCTCTACTGGCTCTCAAAACTAAACTAGGTTAGATTTGTACTTACCGAGGTTTAGGTAATTCACTAAATACAGATAAGCAGTTGGGATGGTATCCATGAACATAGGTGTATTGACTAATTCATAAATTCAACCAATGAACGTGGGTGAGATTTTTAAATTTTAAACAAAAACCAAAAAGTCATGCCCTGGCCGGGTGGTTCCGTTGGTAAGAGCCTTGTCCCAGTGCTGCAGGTTCAATCTCTGGTCAGGGCACATACAAAAATCAACCAATCCGATATAATAAAGAGCTAACGTGCAAATTAGACTGAACAGCAGAAAGACCGTCCAGACGACCTTCCTGATGAAGCCAGGGCTGCAAGGGCCGACCGGGGCTGTGAGGGCTGAGTCCCTTGCACGAATTTCGTGCATTGGGCCTCTAATTAATACATAAATGAGTGGAAAACCAAATCAGTGTTTTTCTCTCTTTCTTTCTCTCTCTCATCTTCTCTTTCTAAAATCAATCAATACAAAAAAGAGAGTTCCTTAAAAGCACACACCAAAAAGTCAGAGCAGTTACTTTTTGCACTTAAATCTCAGATGAACTCTGAAAATAATTTTAAAAAATAGATTATTAAACTTATGACAAAGTACAAAACTCAAGGCTTTGGAAGCCACTTACAAAACAAGAAACAATTGAGAATTAATTTTAACAAACTTTTAAAGTTCTTCCCTAATATATTGGTTTCTTATTCAGTTATTTTATCAGACTAAGATGTACATTTAATCAAACATATAAACCAGCTTAGGAGTACGTTGCTTTTACACAATTCCCATAAATTAATGGTCATTTAACTTCTAATATACAATCCACGGGTGGTTACACCTCCAGAAGCAAACTTTCAAGGAAACTCACCATATGATGGAAGAACAAACCTTACCTTTTGCCCCTGTAATAAATCCACATGTAGTATTCTTTGTAAAAGCTAAGATTTGGAATTTCTTTTGGTAGGATTGATTTTTCATTCCTTTATACAACACTCAAGTAAGTATTTATTGAGCATGTCCCATGTGCCAAACCTAGCACTATTTGTACTAGGAGATACAGATGACAAAAATGAGCAACAAACTACTTAACATTAAAGACCTCCATTTATTAACACAGAGGAAAGATACTGACTAGGAGTTGTGCTAAATATTTTTAGTATGCATCTCATCGAATCTTCCCAACAACCCCATACAGTAGGTACAGTGTAACCTACTTTACAGGTGAAGACACTGGCTCATGGGAACTCAGTAATTTGGAAAGAGCACCCAGAGAGTGAATAGCAGGCTCAGGAACAGAGCCCTGCACTGTCTGGCTTCAAGCCTGTTATGCTTTAACAGTCCCCCCGAGCTTCCTGCTGCTGCACCTCAGGGAAGACACAGTGAGCTCTTGGAGCAGGAGCAAGCTGGGCTAGTTCAAGTGCATCTCAAAATAAGCTTTTCTCAGGCAGTTCTGGCGGGGAGAGAAGGCTGGGCAGGAAGTATAGCATAAAGAAGTGTCCTAAGGGCAGGGCCTGTGAGGCAGGTCCAAAGGTATGAAGGAGAATGGCATACTTGCCCAAATGCTGGTGGTATGAAGTGTGCCTAGAGTGGGGTATGAGGCTGCATAATTTGGTAGGAGCAGTCTGCAAAGGGCATTGTGTACTATCTAGATTTTATCTTTTAGGTAGGCCTTCATGTGGCATAGGAGTAGAGTGGGTGGGGCCTTAAAGAATTTTAAGCAGGAAGTGAATGATCAGATGTGTGGTTTTAAAGGTAGTTCTGGCAAAGAAGCATGGAAGAAGGTGAATGGGGGTGGGTGGGTGAGGGGGGTTGCTGGTGGTGGTAATGGTGGTGGTAGTGTTGGTTGCGGGGAAACTGGAGGCAGGGAGCCTAATGCCTTGTTCTCCTTGAGATGATTAGGCCACGGGAGACCAAAGGCTATCTATATAAAAGCCTACACTACCGTCTGACCGTTCGATTGTTAGCTATGAGGCGAAATGACCACCAGGGGACAGACGCTCAGCACAGGTGCTGCCAGCTACAGTGACTTGGCAGCTGTGGTTCTCGGGTGACACACCGGAACCAGAGAGGAGGGAGCCCAATTCCAGGGTGCATCACCCGAGAACCATCCTCTCGCAATCTGGGACCCCTCAGGGGATGTCGGAGAGTCGGTTTCAGTCCCATCCCCGCAGGCCAGGCTGAGGGACCCCACTGGTGCACCAACCGGGCCTCTAGTCTTACGATAACCGAGAGATGTGTTAGATCTGAGACATACCGTAAAATTTTGATGCCCTAAGACTTAATTCCCACTTAAGTCTCTGCTTTGGTCACTTGGATTAGTGTGTTCAATACCTTAGTGCCTCTATAAAGGCCTTTTAAAATCAGATCATCTTCAGTTTTCTCTCTTGACACCATTCCGCGTAGAGCCTGTACTCCAAACATACTGAAGCCACTGCAGTTCCCAGAGATCATGCTTTCTTGCTTCTGTGTCCAAGCACACAGACAGTTTCCGACCCCACCCCCTTCCTTGGCTGCACACCTCTCAGAGGCGATGATGAGTAAGATGGGACTGACCCTCCAGCAGCACCTAGTTGATATTGATATTCAACTGAGTCATATTTATGTTCTTCTTTTGAGATTTACTGACAGCAACAATTCAGGTCCCAGGATGTTCCTTTAAATTCAGTGGAGAATCCTATCACAGGGAATCCGGTGGGTTAGTCATCACACAAAATGGTTCATGTACTCAAGTTTTTGTTTGTTTGCTTTTTGAACATATGAAGTTCTCAGTTTCTTTTTTTAAAAAAAATACTGATTTTTAGAAAGACAGGAAGGGGGAGAGAACCATCGATTTGTTGTTCCACTTATTTATGCATTCATTGGTTGATTCTTGTACGTGCCCTGAACGGGGATTGAACCCACAATCGTGGCATATGGGGAGGACACTCTAACCAACTGGGCTACCTGGCCAGGGCCTGTACTGATGCCTTATTCTGAGAATCCAGGCATCATTGTTAGATACAAAAGCTGTTTGGTACTGTTCTGCCACAAATAATTATAAAATACGTGTGTGTCAATGTCTCTTATCCTTGCCTGTGTCAAGTGTGTGAAGACCAGGAGCTTTGGGGTTGGAATTAGTGAGAATATGAGAGCAGTTCTATTATGCATGCCATGAATAGGTCCTACATGTAAAAGTCAAAGGAGCTTGTTTTATTACTGTGAAAACTACAAGTAGGCAAAACAATACTTATAATAAAATATTCTGCTGAACGCTCAGAATTCTCAAAGTCTTGGCTGTAGATTGGATAACCTGCAATTGCTTTATTACCATCTAATACATAGAAAGTGAAATGAGTTATAGACAGAAACAGACTTTAAATGTCCACTTGGTTAAAGACCACATTTGATTTAGCAGTTTATGATTGACTTCTTGTTTAAAGTAGCCAGTTCAAAATAAGGCAAGATTATCCCAGAGAATTGTTTATATCATTAAAAGCGGGCCAGGCATGGTTTGAACTGTGATTGCTCCCCAAATTGGAGGATAAACATTCTCTCAAGACATTTCTTTGGAAAACCCCCATGCTGATTCAAGGAAGACAAAACCAAGGTAAATAGCGTGCACAAGCCAAGTCTTGCTTGAGAGCGATTTCTCTTCAGGCCTACAAACCAGTGACATTTTTTCTAGTGTGTGTGTGTGTGTGTGTGTGTTGAATTCTTGTTTCAGTTTAAGGTAAACTACTCCATGCCTTTGTGCCTCAGTTTTCCTCTCTGTATAATGGGAGTTAGTGGAGGATTACATTAGATTATACAGACCTTGCAACTGAATTCTTGTCTCAGTTTAAGGTAAACTGCTCCATGCCTTTGTGCCTCAGTTTACCTCTCTGTATAATGGGAGTTAGTGGAGGATTACACTAGATTATACAGACCTTGCAAATAATTCTTGTTTCAGTTTAAGGTAGACTGCTCCATGCCTTTGCGCCTCAGTTTCCCTCTCTGCACAGTGGAAGTGACCGGAGGATCGCATTAGGTTGTACAGACCTTGCAGTGGGGCCTGGCCTGCAGGAAGCCCTCCACACTTGCTGTGCTCAGTCCCAAGTGCCCCTGGGCCGCCTTTCTAAATATAAGTCTAATAAAAATAAACGGCGTGGACCCGGAGGGGCAGGGCCACGTG